ACAGTGGCCTTGGCATGGCCTGCCCAGACACAACACCCACCTAAAGCCCCTGCAGAGCTTGTCCCTCTTGCCCAAAAGGGACTAAAAAGGAACCAGGAAGAGCAATGCCCATGACAGAGAACTTTGCAAGGGCTTTGAGGGAGCTGGTTTGGGTTACTGATCGGTACGTGTCCTACAGGGTTGGCAGAGGAGTGGTGACAGTGGGGACAGGCTGCAAGCACAGGAACATGCACTGCTGTCCAAGGAAGGTATCACAACCCTTCCCTGTACACCTGCACCACGCAATGTCTGTCCTTGGCTCCAAGATAGATACATGTACCTGCACCTCTGTCAAAGGTGTCCCAGAAAAACTCATAGAGGAAAGGACAGATACAGGGAATGTGCCAGCAGGAAACAAAATGCATGACCAGATCAAGATTTGTGTGCCTTCTCTTTCAAAAGAGAAATGCAGGAGTGAGATCCAGTGAAAGATTTTCAATACTCCATGCCAGTGAGCATGGCCAGGCACAAATCATCTGTCCCCGAGACAGAGCAAAGCCACGAGACACAACGAAGTTGTGTCACACTCTTCACAGGCTCCAGAGGATAGGGGAAAGCACAGCAACAGCAAACCCATAGCAGTACAAGCTGTGTGTAAGCCTCAAAACAGCTCACGTGTGCAGATCACAGTCTGACACCCCTCCGCACGTTTAACAAGACATCTTCTTTAATCCACTCCTCCAGAAAAATCACATTGCAGCGGCAACCAGTCCCAGTCTCTACTTTCCTTGTGTTGCGCAACGCTCCACACTGACCAGAGGGTGGGTATGTCTTCTACAGGCATTGCGACTGACTCATGCTTCCCCTCCTTGCACACAATTTGAGACACGGTGTCCTTTTCAAACTTCATTTTTTCCAGTCTAATTGGCAAAGCTGATTACACAAAGGCACCTAGATTTTGCCTACCCTGTTCCTGGGGTGTGTGAGGCTGTTGATGTGAAGTCCACTGATGCCATTAAGGAAGAAGAGAAAGGCAGCGATGAACTCACACCAGTACGCCAGCGTGAAGCCTGTGAAGGTGAGATGATCCTTCACGAGGATGGAGAAGCTCAGAACCCCAGTGGCCGACAGCAAAAACGAGCCAATGATGAGAATCGAGCCCATCGACCACTTCCGCCTCGCGTTGGCATCCTCGCAGACTTGGGACACCATCAGGAGCTCCAGGCCAAATATGGCAACCACAACGGCAAAGGACACCATGCTTCTGATGGGAATCACCCCCACGCTCAGCCCTTCCACCTTGGCCAGGCTGAGGTCAGTGACGCACTTCAGGACGCTGCCGTTGCTAACGGTACAGAAGTGCCACAGTCCGAAGAGCTGCCCTCTCGCAAAGAGCCAGCGGCCATCGCAGACGGAGATGGACGACAAGACCACCGCTATCGCCACGCACAAGATGATCAGGCTCCTGATGAGCGTCTCAAAGAAGGATTTCTGTGGACTCCGGCGCGCCAGCAGTCTCTGTGCCTTAAAGGACAGCGAGGGGAAGGAAAAAAACTGAGTTAGCAGCGCTACTTTAGGGTGAAATGAAACCAGAGGGACAAAGCTGTGGGACTTCAGTGCTTTAAGTGATTTGCTTGTGCACATCAAACCCCTTCTCACCGGGAAGGCAGCACAGTTACAGGCTGTACCCGGGAGAAAGGAAGGGTGGGTGAAGCTCTGCCGGTTCCCCGGCTGCACAAACAATGCTCTCACGTCAAGGCCCGGGTTTGGGATCACAAAGGCTCTCGGCTGAGCCGGATCCCTGCCCGACAGCCCCCACGGCACAGCCTCCTGATCTCGCAGGGCTGGAGGAAACCACTGGCCCCTAGGACGATGGAGGCCGA